TCATGCCCCCAACGGCTGCGTCGAATCCCACCCAGGGCCGCAGCTGGGTCTGGGTTGGAGCAGCGCGCGGGAGTTCAGGCGCAGCAGCCATGAAGGCTTCCGCGTACATCGCGGACCTCACCCTTCAGCTGCTGGACGAGTGCTTCTTCTCTGCGGACTTCGAGGTTCTAGCCGCGCCCACACAGTCGGCTTGGACGATGACACGAAAACGCTCACCAACAGGCTCTCCGTCACGCGGCGCGGCAAAAACACACACGCGTCGGAGCCTTACACCATCACGGGGCTCGCGAACTTCGCTCTGACCATCCAGCCCAACGCGCCTCTCAAGGTGCAGAACAAGTTGTCCCCCTGGGCGGCCAAGTGCGGCACCTTCGTCGCCCTCGCGTCGCCCACGACCACGCTTGCCGCTTCTTCCGCGCCCGGCAAGCCCGCCCACGCGGCCGCCACGAAGAAACCAGCTGCCAAGCCGGGCGTCCCGAAGACAACCTTGAAGACGAAGCGCCGGCCCAGCGCGTGTTGAGCGCCCGCGCGGCCCCGTCCATTGCGACCTCCCGCGCCGCGATGCCGAGAGGTGCCGATGCAGCGCAGGAAACACCGCGGGCTCCCATTTGGGCGCGGAGCTTTCCCCTCTTGTTCGTTTACGATATCCGTGTTTGTTTTTCTTTTCTCGCCGCCTTCGTCTTCCTCTCTTCTCCTCTGCCCTTCCCCCGTTCCGCTCATTCCTCCTCCACTACTCCATCTCCCCCGAGCTCCTCCTCCGTCCGCTCCCCCTTCTGACCGCGCTCGACCCACAGGAATGCGACAAAAAGGCGGAGGGCTGGTCAAAGTAAGCTAGTTGGAGGAGTCGGAGTCCGAGCGGGGACAGGAGGGGCAAAAAGGAAGACGAGGAGGAGGGATAGGAGGAAGAGGAGAACCAGCATGACAGCAGCACCGGCATAATCAACTGACGACAGGAGAGCTTATATAAGGATGTACCAGGAGGACCCCAACCAAACTTGGCCTGCTCGAGTACATGAGATTGCAGGTCAACCCTCCGCCTCCTCCCACATCGTGAGAACCGTGCCCGACGCGACTGGACATGTGGGGCCGACACTGAAGCGAACGCACCAGTGCACTCTGCGGCCGCGCCCTTTCTTTCGTCCGTTGCCACCTTGGCCCAAGCGGACGCCGGGGGGCAGCCTGGGGCAAGCGGGCGCTGCCATGCCTAAACAGCTGAAGGTTCGGTTTTGTGTGCAGCACCCACGCCACCAGCTGACCAAAAGAGGTCATTGCTGGTTGTACAAAGACTTGAAGCAAAGGTTGCGACGGGGAGGTCGGCTCTGAGGTTCGGCTGCCCGCGCCTGCACAGTCCGGTCCGGGCCGCGAAACGCCAGATTCCGAGCGCGGCGGGGCAAGTTCCAGACGTGGCGGCCCAGCGCCGTCACATTCGCGATGTTCTAGGTACTATAGCCAGGCTGCACAGAGCGCGCGAGCAACGGTTGCCCAAACCCTTCCTTCGCCGAGGCTCTTTGCTGTCGTGGATCACAGATGCGCCGGGCATCGACGATGCGTTGCGGATCATGAACGGAGCCCGGTTTGGACACCCAGACCAGTTCCAAGATCGAGTCTCGAAAGAGATTCGCAGCGCGGTGGTGAACCTCAGAGACCCGTCACTGCAAGCGGCCGCTTGCATTGGCGTGGGGTACCGCCAGAGCCCCCGCATGCTTGCTCACTGCCTCGCTGCGGCCGGGCGTGGCGGTGGTTTCGCCGCGGCCCTCAAGAAGACCAGGCGCGGGCTCCGCACCTACCGGCAAACGGGCCTCTCCGACCGCGCCCCCTGCCGCGGCACCGCGCCGGCAGCAGAGGCGCGCGCAGCGTCGCGCCCGCGCCCGGACTGGGCGGACCTCGAGGACGAAGTGGCCCGACAAATGCGCAAGCATTGCTAGGGCCATGGGTTAGAGCACTTTTCTGCCCGGCAAGCGGCGGTTGACCTCAGCCAGCAGCCCAGTTGGGTCGCGAGCCTCGGGCCCGGGGTGCAGCCCAGCGGGTCTCGCGCAGGGCCCGGGGCGCAGGCGGGCCGGCCACTACCTGGCCGGAGCGGCCGTCAACGCGCACCACGGCCCGATGTTGGTCACCATGCCGTACCAGGAGCAGACGGAGAACTGAAGTCGGCGTGCCGCCCCAACTTCGCCGCTGCCGCCGCCGCGGCTTGCTACGCGCCCGCCGCGTCTTGAGATTCCTCCTCTGCACGCGAGAATTCAGCCGCGCGGTGGGGGCGCGTTGGCTTGCAAACCCGCATCAGCCCAGACAAATCGATCGACATGTTGCGTTTAGATCTGAAACATGGTTGTTGGGACCTCTGTATCACTTCTGCCGCCGATAACGACGACGTTGCCTTTCTTTCGTGGTTCCCCACCAGCGTTTCGGTATGTTCTAGTGATCAGGAGGCGTCTGGCGCGCGAAAACATTAAAACATCGAGCGACATTTTGCGTCTAGACCTGACATGGGTGTCGGGACCGCCATATGACCTCTGCCGCCGATAGCGACAACGTTGCCTGTTGTCATGGTTCCCGTCTAGTGTTTCGGCATGCTCCAGGAAGCAGGAGGCTTCTAGCACACGAAAACACCAAACGTCCATCAACAGTTTGATTCTAGACGTGACATGGTTGTCGGGACCGCCATATGACTTCTGCCGCCAAGAACGGCAGCGTTGCCTTTTCTCTCGTGGTTCCCGAGTATTTTTTGTATGCCCCAGGAAGCAGGAGGCTTCTAGCAGACGAAAAACACCCAAACTTCCATCGACATTTTGAGTCTAGACCCGACACATGGTGGTCGGGACCGCCATATGACCTCTGCCGCCGATAGCGACAACGTTGCCTGTTGTCATGGTTCCCGTCTAGTGTTTCGGTATGTCCCAGGGAGCAGGACGGTCCTGCGACACGACAACACCAAACAAATCCATCGACATTTTACGTCCGGACCCGAAACATGGTTCGCGGGACCATCATATGACCTCCGTCCCCGATAACGACAACGTTGCGTCCTTATCGGTGTTCCCGACTAGTGTTTCGGTATGCCCCAGGGAGCAGGTGGCTCTTGAGACACGACAACACCAAAACGTTTCAAACAAAACGTCCATCGATAGTTTGCGTCTAGATATGAAACATGGTTGTCGGGACCAGCGTATGCCCTCTGAACCAGGAAACGCGCGCTTCTGCTGCGGCGAACTCTGGAGCTCTTTCGCTGGCGCGGGAAAGACCAGAGGGGGCCTTGAGACAATTCCGCACCGAAGCGGAAAACACCGTAGGCATCTTCCGTGTAGATGCACACCACAGTTTCCATGAACATCGTTGCACCTCTGTGCCCCAGAAGAGCTCCAATGATCTATTATTTGGGGCTGCCGACTACGGGCCCAGTATTCTCGACGCACGGGGGGCCTCTGAGACAGATCGCATACCAAAGACCGTCGGTACGTTGTGGCGAGTTAATCTGGAGTTGTCCCTTGCCGCGTTCTTCCTCTGCGGAATTGATGACATAATTGTTGTCCGTCCTGTGACGACCACCTGCTGCTCTGCGACCCTACGGCCAAAGCGGTCTCTGCCACAACGACACGCCACCAAACGAACACATCCACACGTTGCGCTTCGACCCACGCATCTGTTATCCTGCACACCGTTGAGCCTGTGCCATTTCAAAACGCTGCATGGCGTTTTCCTGTTTTGGCAGCAGCCTATTGTTTCCTTGTTTCTCAGAGAACACGGCGCGGACACGCGTTTCTGAGACAGGCATTCACCCAAAAACCATGCGTGTCGAGAGTCGATAGAAAACCCGTTTCCCATGAACACAGGATTGATTTGTCTTGTTAAGTCCAAGATGTGTTGTTGCCATGCCCACGCACATTGTTACGCAGTTGCCGAATGAGCAAAGCACGGAACATTGGATGATCAAAGTACAGATGATATACAAACAGAAGCACATTGGCGCAAGCTTGCAAACGTCCCGCACTGGAAAGACATTGAGAATGACGGCGACGAGCCAGAGGCAAGAATACATATCAAAAAGCGAGGGAAACGGAGGAAACGTAGGACGAGGAGCAGATAGCGGAGGAGGCCGCGCAACACGCCGAATCGTGCGGCGGCGGCGCCGCCCTCGCAAACGGTCGACCGGGCCCTCTTCCATACCCCCCTCCCCGCCCCTCCCCCCCTACCCTCCGCCCTTTCCCCAGTGCATCCGTCCACCCTTCAAACTTCCTAACCTCCACACCTTCTGCCGAGCTCTCCCCATCTCCTCACCGCGCTCCTTCCGTACTCCATTCAGACTCTTTTCTGACCTAACCCCTGGTTTCCTTCAATATTTTCGCGCCCACTTCTCTTCAGGTCCATTCCACGCATCCAAACCTCCTTCCGTGCCTACCTCTGTCCCGCACCCACTCGTCTTTTGCGCTTCCAGATCCAAGCCCCAGTATAGGATGAGGAACATGTTATTGTGGCGAAGCGTAGCGAGCCAACAAGATCTTATATATGTATATGTATATATATACATATATGCGTGTACCGAGTGGCAGCGATATCGATACGCCAATCGTGAAACCGATGTCACATCGGCAGGCAGAAAGTTGTATCGATCGACCTGTTGGCAGAAAAGCATATACGTAGTGGTCGCGATGGGTAGGTCGAGTTTCGCCGATAAGTCCATCGATATGTGTTTATATAGTATGTACAAAAAGGTATTATTGTTGAGGCCTGTACATAGTCACATCGGCAGATCCATACTTAGATCGATACGTGGTTTGGCACCTCGATCGGCAGACATGGATATTGAGACCGATGGATATGTAGTAAGATCGATCACTGGGTTGGTTGTGGGAGTGGCAGACTGGTCACGACATAAAGTGACAGGCATGAGGTCGGTAGCCAGATCACAGGATCGGCAGATAGCCCAGCCGAGACATTGCGAACCCGATCGAACGCCAATCACACACCGAGAGCTGCGCCCCCCCCAACCTTCTTATCACCCGAAGGGTGGTTCTGAGGTATTTGCAAGGTCGCGCTCTGATGTTGTCCTGTGTGAGTGGTAGTAGTTACTACACAGCTGGCATGCTCGTCCCCGCGTGAAGTGATAGTGGCAGAGGGGCTCGTCTCACGCAGGCGGAATACAGAACGGTATCTTTTCGAAGCTACTTGAGTTCTGGGCTGGCTTGCAGCAGAAGTGCAGAAAGTGTAGTTTGACATTTTTGGCCACATCAAGGGCACTTCTGATGCGACCGAGAATTTCAGTCGTCGTGCCCGCAGGGCGCCTCTGCAGCACTAGGCTTTCGCGCGACGCCAGCTCACGGAGCCGGTGCAGGAGTAGCGCAGCGTTGCTTGCTTCTCGACCTTCAGTAGGTTTGGTTTATGTGCGCGCTGCTCTGTCTCACGCGAAAGGGCCCACCGACGGCGCGATGCATGACACAAAAACTTGAGATGTCGCCAGAGGGCGTTCTCCCCCCGTGTGTCGCACATCCCCGCCTCGCCGAGCCACGCCCAGAGGACCGAAACCCTCCATCTGGCATGCCGAGCTGCGGCTCGCAGGGTGAAGCAGCAGAGCCTCGGAATGGAGGCCGGACCTCTACTCTGAAGGCTGGTTGCTCTCGGCAGCTCCGCGCGGCTCGGCGATCCTGCTCTCTTACGGAGGAGGTCCCCGCCGCGCCCCGCCACCGGCGTGGCCGCCAAGGCGCCGTCGGTGGTGCCTTTCGGGCTGCCCCGGGTGGCCCAGCCGAGGAAGAGAGGGGAGGAGTCAGATCGGAGGAGGAGCGGGTGATGCCCCAAATTGGTTACGAGATGCGATCCCCCCCAGATTGTTTTTGACTGTCCCCCCAGTCCGAGGCGGGAACTCATACATGACCACCGCCTGGAGGGTCAGTTTTCGGATCCTCGGCAGGCAGTGGATATGGAGATGTTCGGGCGCCGGGGGGCCGAAATATATCCATATCCACCGCCCGCTGGGGCACCAAGACGTCGGTTCCCAGGCGGTGGATATGGATAAGTCCCCGCCTCGCACCTAGATCGTTCTCTGTTAGGCTTGCCTGAGGGGCTCTGGCTTGGTTAAGAGGAAAAGGTGCCTCGGGGGGGGGGGCGTTGCCCGGTCACCTAAGATTCCTCGGGTTCTGGCGTCTCCAGAACGGTCCTGAGCGTTCGATAAGCGGTCCTGCCCCGCTCTACTCCCTCCTCGTCTGTTCTCATTACACGGCCCCGCCTGCAGGGACGCCCATCCTGAGGGTTGCTCTTCTGCCGCTCCACTCCGGCGTCGCCAGTGGAGGTGCCTCCAGAGTCTTTACGCGATGTGGTGAGCTCCTGCACCTCGTCTTTGGTGGGGTCGGCATCGGCTGAGACGGCAACTTTGGACTCCTGGGAGATCGCGTAATGGAAGGCATTCAGCTGCAAACGTGTTTCAGTCACGCGCAGAGGGGGAAAGCAACCTCCTTCTAAGAAGCCTTCCCCCCCATCCCTACCCCCCCTGTGCGCACCGCCAAGTGTTGCTCTGTGGCGCTCATCACATGGACTTCGGTGAGATCCTAGGCCGGGCCGCAGTCGAATCCAGCGCCGCCGCCGCAGAGCGTACCTCGGAATCGTGAAAAAAGGAGCGACCCTTCGCCAGGATGACCTTCGGTGCGCGGTTTTCGGGGTTCGCAGGGGGGGGTGGGGCCTCCTGAAAGCCTGAAAGCAGTAGCGATGTAAGGTCAATTCGTTGCGGTTCAGTGTCGCACCTCCTCGTCACCCTCCTCTTCCTCCTCCTCCTCCTCCTCCTCCTCCTCCTCCTCCTCCTCCTCCTCCTCCTCCTCCTCCTCCTCCTCCCCCTCCTCGGTATGGCAAGCTCACGCACGAAGGCCGCTACTGTCGCACCGCATGCAACGATCGACAAGCCGCGCACCAGCAGGCACTCTTTCCTGGCTGGGGCCACCCTTGCGTGTGGCTGGGCACCGCTCGGCGGGCCGCTGGAACGAGGACCCTCTGGGGCTCAGGATCGAGGATCAAACAGCGCCATGAGCGCAAACTTTAGGAGGTCCGTTCAGATTTCTCAGATCGGCGCCGCGGCACCGCCTCTCGGGTTACAATTCGATTCGATCGATGCGACTCGATGTTGATTTCAGCCAGCCCGATCCGATTCGGTTCCGACATTCCGACGACCCGATGCGGCCCGATGATCGCATACCGTTGTTGTGCATCCTGGCGCTGCCGATCCGGTTCCGTTCCCAACTCCGTGCCGATGCGGCCCGATCCGAGGCACTCTGCGATCCGATGCGGTTTCTCCGATTCGATGCTGACTGGTGCTGCCTCTTCGTGGAAGCCACAGCAGGGAGCGTCCACCGTGCCCGGCAGCCCAGCCTCACGCGGGCACGGGGGCAGCGCAAGTGGGCGGGAGACGGCGGAAGTCAAACGATGCAGGACAGGAGGAGGAGGAGGAGGAGGAGGAGGAGGAGGAGGGTGACGAGGAGGTGCGACACTGAACCGCAGCGAGTTGACCTTGCATCGCTGCTGCGT